ATCGTATGGAAATGAAAGGTCATGGGTATTAGGGTTTACATGAATGTAACCCTAATCCTCCACACTATATAAAGGGGTCTATAGTGTATGAAACGGGACTAGTATGTGTACACAAGAGAGGATGAAACCGATTTTGGAGCAAGTATCCTTACTCACAAGTTATTCCAATTGTTTTTGGTGTTGTGTGAACCATTTGAGGTGCAACACTTGGGGCACTAAGCTCTTAAAGTTTCAAGACTTTAAGCTTTATCAAAAGGTATGTCATTCTACTAGATTCTTGTATTGTATATACTTCATATTATGCTAGTTAGGATGAAACCTTGGAATATTGAATATTTGCATACATAATAGAGAAAACATAGATCCAAGGTTTATAGGGTTGCATGTACACCATAGGAGTGTTAGAATGCTAAAAACCCATCAGTGGTATCAGAGCCTAGGCTTGTTTTCTTTATAATTTATGCAAATTGCTAAAAAAATGTTGAATTTATGCACACCGCCCAGTTGACTCGCCGAGTCCATCATGGAACTTGATGAGTCCATGCATATATTCAACCAACTCGTCGAGTTAGTTCTTGCACTCGACGATTTGGTAGGCCTGAGTGCAGATTTTCGAGTTTTGGTGTTGGAATTGGTCTATAATCATTACCTTAAACTGTTTTGGATTTATAAAACCTATTTTTGATGTGGTAATGAATATGGTGAACCAATTTCAAGGTTATTATCAATATTTCATGTTTTATATGTGTTTATATAATTCTTGAAATTGTTGATATGATTGTTCATACACTTATGAGTTTTGGTAGAACATAAGAATTATTTGCAAATTGTTTGTTAGTTAATTCTTGATCTAAATGTTTTTTAATGGAGTCCATAATTTGTCCTCAAGTTATGGATTACCAAAAGTCATTTATTTTAAAGATCCATCAAAAACCCATAGGTTACATAATTGAAGAGTCTTTCTCATAACTAGTTTTATGGACTCCATAACTTGTCCTCAAGTTATGGAAGTTCAAGAATCTCTTCATTAAAGTTTTAAAATATTAATCAAACTCATAAGTTATGAAAAAACAAAAGTTTTTGAATTGTTCAAAACTTGCCCTCAAGTTTTGGAATTTGTAAAGTCTCATACACACTTTAATTCCAAACCATGGAGTTTTAAAAGTTAAAATTCAACCCTTATACTTTATAGTATTATAAGTTAATTATATATATATATATATATATATATATATATATATATATATATATATATATATATATATATATATGTATAAGAGAAAGTCAATCTTACCGTTAGTAGGCCTCATTCATGCAGTCGATCTATAAGGGGGGTATAAGGTTACTATCTATAAAATGGCAGTTTAATGGGTGTCCACTCTCACCCACCGCTTCCTTGACTAGTGGAGGGTCGTTAGCCGAACGGGTAGGACAATGACTATAATTCTCATTAAAAGTATAATGATAAATATAAAGTAACTAAACTTTTTATAAATTCTCAATCTTAGTTACTTTAGGAAAATGTGAATTTGGTGCTAACCCATGAAATTACAATTTGTATCTTACCAAGATGTTGGTGGAGCGTGTGTGGGGAACCAACACAGTAACATGGACTAGTAAGAGTGGCAAAGGGTGACTTAATGTTTATCATAGATCGATGGAGTGCATGTGGGTAACCAACACATCCATTAGGTGATAAAGATTAAGGGTACCAAGTTAATTTTCATGGTTATTCACACCTTGTTTGTGATCCTCGGCATCCCAGTCACAAACTTGAGTGGGCACAATCAAGATTTAAACATGTCATTGAAAAGTTCAATGAATCTCAAAAGATCTAGGAGTTTCAAACCAATTAAAACTTAATTCCTATTTCGTTTTTCATGGTGGAAATTGGTGAATCGTCATTCGCCTACCTTCAAATATTTTATAGCGTGGATTACGACATCCCTCTTCCAAGTTATAAAATATTGTGTTGGGTCCTAGCTTTAATATTTCATATTGAGTGTTCTATTAAGGCCTTAAATCAACAAACTTAAATTTATCCCATTGTAGATGTCTAATTCAGACAACTATGATCTTCCCAAATCTCTTGGAACAAGCTTTCCTAATGAACATGATGTCTCGCGATTGAATCATGGAAATCATACTTCTCTTCCTCCACCTCCTCCATTTATTCTCCGTGACCCACAAGCTCGAAGACTTGAAAAGTTCAAGATCACTCAAGCCCTACTTGCAATGAAACATAAAGATGGAAGACATGTGTGTACTCATGTCTTAGAGATGAAGTCACACATTGATAGGTTAAGAATGTTGGGTGTCGTTATCCCAAGGAAGTTGGTTATTAACTGGGTTCTTCAGTCATTTCCAGAGTCATATAGTGAATTCATTAAGGGCTACTATGTGACAGATCACGACATGACCCTTATTGATCTTTCTTATTTGCATATTGTTGCTGAATCAGGAATATTTTGGGTGCACTGGAAAAGTAAATTTGGGTGGAAGGTCTATTTCTCAACCTTCCATGGACATTGACAATGGTAACATTGGAAGTCCAGAAAAGCTTTCTCTTCCCAATGGAAAGGGATCAACCTTGATCAACTCAGTTGACCAAAAGGTAAACAGAAAGGCTAAGTCTGTGATAGTCCCGTGTACCATTCCCAAAGAGTCTATATGTTTTCATCGTTGAGAGAAGGGCATTGGTTGCGAAGCTACCCTAACTACCTGAAAGATCTAAGAGAATGAAGAATCAATAAGTTTGACTCTGTTTCAGATAAGTCCACTATCTAACTCTGTTAAGTTCCTAGTTGATGATTCTTAATACATGATGTGACTAGGTTGCATTTTGATGTTTGACAGGATCAAGCAAAGGGAAGAAAACTTAAAAGAAGAGTATGTTGAATCCGATCGCGAAGATAGATTTCAATTGCATGGTTCGAAGATCGGATTTTGAGCTACTACTTCGGAGTTATGATAGATTGCTAGGAAATATGTAATAGCATAGGATTCATTTAAAGTTGCATTGTAAGCAAAAAAAAATCCGCATTTTATAAATAAATAAAATTTTGTTTTACTTTATTTTATATCTCCTTGCAATCACATTTATGAAAAAATTGATGCTTGTATGTTTCTAGCTATATTGGAAATATGAATTTGATTCGTTTATTTGTGGTAGTGTCTAGATTTACAAAATAATGAAAGATTCTCATAACCCAAGTTTCAATTGGACCGAAACTCGGAATCATGCAAGTTGCATTGTATGATGAATGAGAACTTTCATCTTTGGAAATTTAAGACTAATTCATTGTTCACATGTATATGTCAGTTAAGTGAAGGACAAAGGGATCAGGTACACTTGGTTGTGCACTAGTTAGGTCCACCACAAAGATCGATAAGATTATTCGTCACGATTTACTAAAGTTTAGTGAATATGGTAATACTTACAAGCTTAAGTATTATTCTGAAACATTGGAAAAGTTTCAATGTATGGCAGAACGAATGAGAAGAATCAAATTTGGCAGAAAGATAAAAGTTTCTCAAATCTGAAAAGATGGGAGGGTACTTTAGTATCATGTTTTATGATCATCTTAATGATTATGAGATCATATCACAATTAATTCTCTAAGGATATATTAATGCATTCACATAGCTAAGAAGGGGAGTCATGAATTATTGAAGTGATTAAATCAAGAAAATGAGTCATACTTCGTTCCAAAACAATTCTTAGAGTCATGTTCCAAGATTGTAACTTGAGTGACATATCTTAAAAATGGTTTATAACATTTGTCAAATGTAAGAGTAAAATGTGTTCTACTCTTGTATATTTGAAATTAGTAAGTTGTAATATTTTGGAGAAAACAAAAACCAACTAATGCTAATTGTCAAATGTAAGAGTAAAATGTGTTCTACTCTTTTGAATATTTGTTTGTTAAGAAATTGTAAATATCTAAAGAAACAGAAGATCTAAAGTCACTCAAATAATAATAATAATAATAATAATAATAATAATAATAATAATAATATCAAATATGAGATTTCTTGAAACTAATAAAAAAATGAAAGCATCTTTCTTAGAAAACGTGACATATAGGGAAACAAAAAACCATTGATATTAAATACAAACAATTATAATTTCAATAAGGTTGGGAGTGGTGAGGGGAGCATCATAGTTTCACCTTAGCCAAATACCCTCTTTCTTGTTTGTAACTTGGGAGCGCATTGCCAAGGAGAGAATAAATTTTGCTATGTCGAGATGGAAGAACGGTGTTTTCAAATCCACAACAACCTTCATATCCTTTTTTTGAACTCACCTTCCTTTCTATTTTCTGTAGCATAACAAAAATTGAACAATAGCATCTTTTTTGAAATTATGGAAAAACATTAACAATTTGAAATTTTTTGGGAAAAAAAAAATCAAAAGCATCTATGTTAAAGTTATAGAAAAACAAAAACGTGACATATAGTAGGAAAACAGAAAACCATATATATATATATATATATATATATATATATATATATATATATATATATATATATATATGCTTAGATTATTCTATTATAACTAATTATTATGTGGAAGTAGGAATGATTGTGAACCAATCATTTTATTTATTTTAAGAAAAATCATTTATCCATATTGTTGAATTAAAAATAAATAGAATAATATCATTTATATAAAAGAAGGGTAAAATTGTATATTTACATTACTTTTAAATTAGGTAACATAAATTTAAAAATGGATTTTTCTGAATTGTTTTTATTATATTTCTTTTGAATTCTATTTTTTTTTTAATTAATTCGATTAGAATTCTATCAAAATTTTATTTTGTTATAATGATGTTCTATGAAATTGTTTTGTCAGAATGTTATTCTACTAGAATATTATTGAATAATAATAAATTTTTTGAACCTACAGTTGAATAATAACAACATTCTTGAAAAAATATCATTCTCAAATATAAAATTCTTGTTACATTTAGTATAATTAAACATATTCTAACAGAATGTCATCAAAATGCATACAATTCTTTAAAAATATCATTCTCAAGTATACAATTCTTGAACAAATTCTTAAAAAATATCATTCTCAAAATGCATATTCTAATAGAATGTCATCAAAATGCATAAAAGTCTTAAAAAATATCATTTTCAAATATACAATTAGTTAGAATACAATGCTTGTGAACATGATGCACATGTTTCAATGCTTCTTGGTGTTGCCAAAATCTTGAAACACCTAGAAAACGAATTACAGGTAGGTAAACTAATCATAAAGACCAATTAGGGTTCGATTGATCACCTCAAAAGTAATTAACTTTGGATTAATTAATTAATTAGGGCACTGAGGTATTGATATTTCAACCGGTTGAGGAATAAGGCGAAAGAGCAAAACAGATGATCAAAGAAGGTGTTCTTGAAAATATGGAGGCCATTTTCGGTCTACTTTTAGTCCTATTCTCGGATTCTGATGTCGTTGCATCTAGATCTGACGACTTCTTGGCGGGTGTGGCTTTTTCAGGGCGGTGATCCATGTTAAAGGAGGTCATGCCACCATTCCTCAAGATTCCGTAATTGATCCAATTTTGGATGTTTCAGCTACAGTAATTAGCTTACAACATATTGTATCTTGAGAGGCTGATCCCTTAGATATACCTGTAAGAAACCGGATTTTAAACACAAACCCTAATCCATGATATCTACCCTTGAACATTTTTTATTGACAGTTATTTTGCAGGTTGTTTCTGTAACAATGTTGGATGGTGGAATTGGGCTTAATGTAATTGCAGATTCAGTCTCCATTGCTGGTACTTATAGATTTGTTAACAAAAAAAACTTCTATGCACTTGCAGAAGGAATACAATAGGTGATCAAAGCTCAGGCGTCTGTATATCGTTGTTCATCTACAATTGACTTTGAAGGTCCGAATATCCAATTTAAGAAATTTAGAAAGTCGATTTCGTTCTTCTCAGCTTCAATCAAGAACAATGAAAAGAAAATAGAAGAAGAAGAAGGAACAACCTGGGATATTCAAGAAAAAACCACCGAGCCATCTCCACTGTTACGGATTGTTGTTGTTGGTTCGTCCCTTTTGTTGCTTCGGTTCGCCGAACCCAAGAGACGGCCCCCTCCATTTTGCGATCGATTAGCCACCACCGAGAATCGACACAACTTCTTGCTTCATTCTTTTTCTTCCGTTCGGACTCATCAACTCTGGAGACCATCAGACTCCTCCTGCTGAACAACAAGCAACACAAAACCACCAGATTTGCGACTTGTTTGGGTTTCTGGTAGAAATCGTATGTTCTCTGGTGAAGAAGGCATGGAACGAGATTTAGGGTTAATGTTATTAAACCGATTCTTATTTAAAAGGAAATTAATTGATTTAAAGTTACCAAAATTAATTATTAGCTAAGATTATAATTTTACCCTTATTTAGGTATTTGAAATGATTTGTTCACATTCATCCTTACATCCATACAATATTTAGTTAGAATATCTGTGTGTGTGTGTGTGTATATATATATATATATATATATATATATAAGAAATTTGATAGAAAATGGTAAGAGTTTCTAAAATAAATAATATAACGACAACAAAATTTCATTTTTCAAACCTGATCGTCTCTAAATTATCAAATTTGGTAGTTTGAAAAGTACGTTTTTGTTGTTAGAGTATCTTAAATCCACTTTCATTTTTCATTTTTCTCACATTCTTTTCCAACACTTCCCCATTTATTCATTCCTTTTGGTGGATATAAACAGTATTACACAAAATATAGTGTTATATTATTCATTTTTCCAATTATGAACTATGTGTTGTCAGTTTAGTCTCTCTGTTTGTATATTTATACATTTATTGTTTATTTTTACATATTAATTATAATTTAAATGTAATATTTAGTACTTATAATATATTGTTATATATTAAATTATATTAATTAATTATAAATATAAACTTTGTTTTTTGATCATCAAAATTCATATAAAAAATTAAATACATATTGTAATTTTAAAAAAAAAAACAATAAGGAATTTTACAAAAGTTTATAAATGTGTTATAAATATAATCTTTTTATTTAATATTATTATAATAAAAAAAATATAGATTATATATTTGTTAAAAACAAATTAATAAAAAGAATACGTTTGACCATCTATATAAGTTGGAAAAATATAATATATTTTTTGGAGTAAAAATAGGATAAAAAATAAAATAGATTTGAAATAAAATATTATTTACCTTATTTTTTTATTTTATTTTTTAAAAAATAAAATAAAAATAAATCGGAGATAGTCTTAGCCCATGTCTCAAATTTGTTTGGACCATGTATATTATATAGAAAATTTTAATAAAAATAAAATTTAAAGGAATTCATCCACAAAAATAGTATATATATATATATATATATATATATATATATATATATATATATATATATATATATATATATATATATATATATATATATATATATACTTAATTAGTCGGTGTCATCTTACACCAAACCTCTCAAATAATGGCCCTAAGCTTCAATGATGAGAATTCACTGTTCAACTTCGTTGTGAAAGAGGGAAATGGTGTCAAAGGTCTGGTGGAGTACTCCGGGCTCACGGAGGTGCCACCTCGGTTCATCCAACCTCCCAACGAGCGATTCGACAAGCAGCAAGCAGCCCCATCATCTGAAAACATGATCATTGATCTATCGGAGCTCGATGGTCCTAACCACGATCAAGTGGTCAAGGCCTTAGCCCATGCTGCTGAAACTCTAGGTTTCTTTCAGGTGGTGAACCATGGGGTGCCATTGGAGCTCCTAGACTCGCTTAAAACTGCAACTCACCAATTTTTTGACCAACCAGCTGAAAAGAAGGCGACATATCTCAAGGAGGTGAGTAACAATCCGATGGTGATGTATTCAACGAGTTTTGTTCCGGAGAAAGAGAAGATTTGGATGTGGAGAGACTTTTTTAAGATGACATACACCAATGATGCTGATGCCCTTGAGTTTTGGCCTAATGAATGCAAGTAAGAACATCAAATTAGTCAAAAAATTTCAAGAAAACGATGATTATTATGTGTATGCTTGTAATTTTGTAGGGAAGTAGTACTCGAGTACATAAAGACATCAACGGAGATGGTGAAAAAACTACTACAAGCACTAATTGAAAATCTGGGAGTGAAACTAAACGATTCAGGACTTGATCCATTTATAGGTTCAAAGTCAGTGCACATGATCTTCTACCCGAAATGTCCAAACCCCGAGTTAACTATAGGAGTTAAGAAGCACTCCGATATGGGCACTCTAACAATGCTTCTACAAGATGACATTGGTGGATTATACGTTAAAAAAGCAGGTGAAAACGTATCATCTGGAAACGAGGAGTGGGTCGAGGTTCCACCCACCCCTGGTGCTCTAGTCATCAACGTTGGCGATGTGTTACAGGTTAATTTCATGCTATGACTACGTAATTTCCTCCTTAAATGCATAATAATAACTTAGATTTGGTGTTTTCATGTGTTAGATTTTAAGCAATGGAAAGTACAAAAGTGCAGAACACATAGTGCGAACCACAAGCACTGCATCAAGAGTGTCGATTCCTATATTCAATGCTCCGGTTCCTGTAGCAAAAATAGGACCATTTCCGGAGCTGGTGGCTCGTGATGGGGTCGCTAGATACAAGGAGGTCACATACAAAGAGTACACGAACAACATCATGCAGAAACCCCATGGAGGAAAGATGGCTCTTGAATTCGCGTCTGTTTAAGCTTTTATTCTCCATTTTAGTGGATTTGTTGTTTGTAATAAAAGAGGAGTGGTGTACTCAATTCACTGTGGTTTGCAATTTATTTACCAAAATATAAAAGAAATTTTGTCAGACTTTTATACCAAGAATAGAAAGCAGGTGACCCAACAACCTAAAATACGATTTCTTTTGGAAATTAAATGGATCAAATGTGTGCTACTGATTTTTAAGGTGCTCAAATAAGCGAGCAAATTGGGTTTAAGGGACTGTGGAAACAAAGGGAAAACAGAGAAAAAACAGTGGAATAAGAAGCTGAACTGAAATAAAGTTATTTTACCCCAAAATGAAAAAATTTACATTAACCAGGAGAGGAAAATAACTGCTACTTTCTGTTACTTTTCTACTTCAAAAACAGCCTAATAGAACTTGTATTCAAAGCAAAATAATAATAATAATAATAATAATAATAATAATAATAATAATAATAATAATAACTCATTCTTCAAATCAAGGGAAACATGGGCCAAGGAATGGGTGGTTAGTGGTAACCCCTTTTTTGTCGGATCCGTAAAGAGTGGCAGATTTCTAGATAACCTTTTTTAAGAGCACTCTTAATAACCTTTTTTAAGAGCACCCGGTATGGGTCTTAATAACAGTGTTATTGCCGATGTGGAGACCTAAAAACATGGTTATAACGGGTGAACACCGCCTCCCTTCCTATTATATCCGGTTAAGAGCTCATCTCCTTGCCGTTACCATAGGAAGAAATGGGGCAAAATGGCTATGTTGACCGTTTTTGAACAGTCATATTCTTAAAAAAAAATCATTTTCTTTACATATAAATACATTACACTCATATATTTTTTATATTTTTATCTTCTTTCTCTCTATATTTTATACATCTAACCAAAACTTAAACACATAAAAATGGATCAAAATCCAAACACCCCTCCACCAAACCAAAACTCAAACACACAACCACTCACAACATCTCCTATCGGGTTTGCCGATTACGAGAACTACTTTAGCCTTCTATCGTCTCAAGCTTCACCACAAATCTCCTCTTTCAATCCTGCATCACCACTACTCCAATTTCCTAACTCACCTTATCTTCAACAAAATCTTTTCAGCCAAAATTCAAGTTTACAACAAAACCTTTTTCTCATGCAACCTCAAACATAACCACAACAACCTCAAACACAAGCACCACCTCCAACACAACCATCGGTTGAAACGTAAGCGAGAGGTAGTAAGAGAGGGAAAGGAAAAGGAAGAGGGAAAGGGAAAGCTATAGCACTTGATACGGAAAATGAGGAAGCTCCACATTGGTCGCTACCAGATGAAGAAAATGCTTTGGCGCAAGCATGGTGTGGTACTTCAAAAGACGAATGTCGTGGAAATGGGATGAAGACATGTGCTTATTGGGAGGCGGTGCTCAAAAACTTACACACTATATTGAAGGAAAAACTGTATCGCAATACGGACATGCTTAGTAGCAAATGGACTCAAATTAGCAATCGGTGCACAGAATTCAATGATATTTACAACCGGCTTGAGGCGCACCAACAAAGCGGAACGAACGAATTTGATTTATTCAAAGCTGCAAAAGAACAATATCGGGTCGAAATGGGACATGTGTTCGAGTTCGAGAAAGCGTGGGCGTTGGTGCAATTTGATCCAAGGTGGAAAAGAACCCATACATCGTTGGAAGTTCAATCAAAGAGGTCTTGAAATTCGAGCTCGGATGCACGAACTCATATCAACCTAAACGCCAACACCGATGAGATCCCGGATGATATCGAGGAGATCTCCCCACCACGAAGACCGCCCAGATGCGACAAAGCGAGACACGCTGCAAGGCATTCAAATGAGGTTGAAGCGAAAGCAAAAGATGCGGCGGAAACGAAAGTAAAATTCGATGGGCACAATTTATCATAAAAAGAAAAAAATGAGTTGAAACACCGCCACTTGGAATTCCTAGAAAGACATGCATGAGAGAAGCAAGAGCAAAAAGAGAGAGGACTAATGACACAACAATTGTCAAATACTCGGACTAGCAAGGATGGTTTGTCGCCTTAAGATCTAGCGGTGCTACAAGAGATCAATGATCAAATTAGAAAGAAGTATTTGGGTTAATTAAGATTAGTAGTAAAATGTTATGGTTTTAGGTGTAATTTAGATGTTATTTGGGTTAATTATGACTAGAAAAAAATGTTATCTTCTAAAATTAATGACTTTTTTTTATTGTAATCTTAATTTTAGTATTTAGAAATTATATGTTTTTTTGTTTTTTAAATATTATTGTTTATAAAAATATATTTATTTTATTAATTACCAAAAAAGAAACACGAAAAAGAAAAAACAAACAAAACTCGAAAAAAAAAATATGACATGGAAAATATTTGTGTTATAACATTGTTAGAACATGAAAACCATTTCCTCTTTTGGTGTTATAACACCATTGTTTATATGACATATGAGGTGATAATATATTGGTGTTGCATCTAGTTGCCCACACACAATACTCTAATAACATTTGACTTTTCCAAGTGTACCGTATGTTTACCATATTAGCCGGAAATTTTGATTTTATATGAGTTAGATGTTACTTTATAAAGATGAAAATCAGTTAGTTTAAATAAATTTAAAAAAATATATGTTTTTTATAATTAATTAAGGTTTTATTTGAAACTTTTTTAAAAAAATCCAAAAACCTAATCTAAATAGTTTTTTAAAACGGTAAATTATAAAATATTCTTTAAAAAACTCAAAAAAAAAATTAGCTTATTAGCTAATCATTAAACAATCAAAATAAATATTCATAACATTTTAATTATTAGGGAACTCTTATAAGAATCCTAGAAGAAGCCAATTATCATGTCCTTGTTTAGATTGAACCAACAGATTGTTTCCAAAAACTCAAATTAAAGAAGATTAATTAAAACAACATTTTTGAATCATTAATCATAAAATTTTGTATTTAAATAATCTTAATATATATAAGTTAAATGATAAATAATATCCAGTTAACATGGTGAGACCAACTCTAGCTCCTAAAAGAGTCCAAGATCTTCATCATAAATTATGCCAGAATATTATTTATCTCGAAAAAATCATCAAATCGATCAAATTCAATCAACACATTTTGAAAAATATAAATAAATCTCTTTTTTGTTTTACCTTTTAGAAATAAAAACCAAATACTAAAAATATATTGTTTTTTTTTTTTTTTGGAATGACAGAGAAGGTAGTATTAGAAGAAAAAAATATTAGAAAAAAGGTTTTTAAATTATACAATCAAAATCCAACTTCTTATCACCATTAGCCAACAAACACATGTTCTTTGTTCATTCCCTTGCCTATATTTCTGGGTAGAATTCGATTTTATGGTTTGACAAAGAACAAAACTTTGGTAGGAAACGTGAAGGCAAAACAAATTCAATTTTTTCAATTTATAAATATCTTTACTAGATATTAATGTTTTTATATGTGCATATGATATCCACCAAATTAGAAATAGTGAAGCGGAATTAACATTAAACTTGGAACTATAAAAGATTACCTTGGAAACAACCATCGATTGAGAAATAACTATAAATCGGGGCTACAATAAAGCCTCTAGTTGTAGTAGAACACAAACCAACGTAGCTCTTTTCCTCTTTCACTTGAAACAAAATAGAAAGCATCAACAACAATCAAGCATCAAACCATGTAGTTTGCATATAACACACACAACACGAAATTATTGAATGTGAAAGTTGTCGTTGATAGCTAGGGATTAATTATTGTCTTGAAAGGAAAGTTACCTTCTTAAAATTGGAAAGTACTGTTTATAATGAATATTCATACCATAGAAAAAAAACATTTAGGCAGTGAACATCTAGGCCTCCATCTAGATTTCTGCAATATTCACTCAAAAAATAGAAGTGTAGAAGTGATGTCAAGTGAGAGAATGTCAAGCGGATCAACCACCAAAATCGAACTTTCTTCTCAAAAAAACTAAAACTTCAATTAAAGCATCAAAAACCCAGAAACAAATAAGCATGGGAAGATAATCGTAATAAAAAAACCTTTATTGAAAATTAATTCTTCAATGAGTTACACAAATCATGCACACAATGAGTTTTTAGAAGGAATGGGTGGAGATTGTGGGTGCATTTATACTAATAAGTCAACAATAATTATGAATTAGGGCTCTAGGATTAGTCACAAAACGTACCTTTAGTAACCTGTAACACCCGTAAAAATTATGCAAAATTTAAACTTTTAAAAACATTTTAAATCTATTAACCATTACAAAACTTGTTTTCAAAATGTATCATATCAGAGTATTCCAGAAACAAAGTCATAAAAAGTGAGGAGTTGTACGATCACGCCTTTGCCTTGCTACGATCCCTTGATGCACCTGAAACAATAAACTGAAACTGTAAGCCTGGAAGCTTAATGAGTTCCCCCAAAATACTCATACCCATAACAATACATATATAATCATAAACAACATACTATGGGTCCAATCAACCATCGGGTTGGAATACCCCAGGCCCTCAACCAACAGGTTGGAATCCCAACACACTATGGGTCCAATTAACCATCAGGTTGGAATACCCCAAGCCCACAACCAACAGGTTGGAATGCCCACATACTATGAGTCCAATCATCCTCGGGATGGAATACTTACAGGCCACAAACAATAGGTTGGAATGCCCAGGTCTATTGGCTTTCGCACAAAGCAGATAAGCCTCAACCACAAAACAAACATGTGCACATATATAACAGATAATCACATGACAGTCTATAAGCAGACAAACCGATTTAACAGATCATAACAACATAGCACATCCTATCTACCAGGATACTAATCTAACGGATCATAGCAACATATAATATCCTATTTACCAGGATACTGATCTAACAGATCATACCACATAGCACATAATACCATCCTATCTACCAGGATACCGATCTAAAAGATCATACCACATATCACATAGTATTATCCTACCCTCTAGGATACCGATCTAACAGATCATATTAGCATACATAACCATATAACGATCCAAAGGGCCGGCCTTGGTGCCTTAGACCCTTGAGTATAGTGAGGATAACTCACCTGACACTGCTGAAGTAAATATGCACAAAAAGACGGAGAAGTTGAGTTTCTAAAAGGAGAAGTAGGAGGTTGATGACGTATTGCGACGTCATGGGAGACCCTGGAGATGGAAGAGAGAACCATCAAAATAATCATAAATAATGAGTTATTGCGATGCATATTGAAAATTGGGGAATTTGAAGGGTTGGGATGTTTCAAACGGTTATCCACTCACCGTCATCAAGAACATAAAAAATTAAATATATATGATCACAAAATTAATAATATTAATGTCAGGATACTTTACATAACTCGGGATTAATAAATGAAGAGGTAATGGTTCATGAGACTTATTGTAGCCTCGAATGCTTAATTTCAAATTGAATGTATGAATATTTGAGGCTTAGCTATCTAAAAATACTAAAGATGTAACATCATATTGGGTTAAGATCGTAACTTCTCAATATAGATCTTGCTTTAGAAACATCTAAACATGATCATGATATTTTTCCGTTATAAAATCATGCCAATTATAATATTTTAATATCAAAACCGAAATCTTGATAGCAAATACACACTAGGTACTATCTAGGGACTATCTTTGTTTGTGATGGGTGTGATGTGAAAAAATAAAAGGATGTCGCTAAACAGTAATTTGTATTGAAATAAATTTCATTTAATGCGTTCATTTTAGCGAGTATTTACAAAACCCTACTGATTAAACCCCCAGTCCAATCGCCAAAATTATCAATGGCTTCCAACATCATCTTTCGACGGTTCAATTCGTTTCGCCATTTTCAAGCTCGACCTTTCTCCTCTGTGTTAAACCCTGATTCTACCACTCCTCTCTCCAGCAAAGAGAAATCACGCGCCGCTCTTTCTCTCCTCAAAACGGAGAAGAACCCGGAGCGCATCATCGATATCTGCCGTGCCGCTTCACTCACACCGGAATCACATCTAGATCGCATAGCATTTTCAATCGCAATTTCGAAGCTCGCGGATTTGAATTACTTGCAGGGTATACATGCTTTCATCGAAGAGTTGCTTACAACACGACCGGATTTGAACAACGAGAAGTTCATCTCTCACGCTATTATCTATTACGGTCAAGCTGGGTTGTTAGACAATGCATTCCAACTGTTTGATAAAATGTCCCAACTGGGTATTGCTCAAAATGCGAAATCTTTAAATGCTCTACTCTTTTCTTGTATGTTTGCCAAGAAATACAATGAGGTGAAACGTGTTTATCTCGAGTTTCCATTGAAATACGGTGTGACGCCTAATCTCGATACATACAACACTGTGATCAAGTCCTTTTCTGAATCAGGTTCATCAAGCTCATGTTATTCCGTGATTTCCGAGATGGTTAGGAAGAACTGCAAACCAAATGCAACCACATTTGGTACTTTGATTGCTGGATTCTACAAGGAGGAGAAGCTTGAAGAGGTTGGAAAGGTGTTGGAGTTAATGAGGAAACATGAAGTTCCCATAGGGATCTCAACATATAACACCAGAATTCAAAGCTTGTGTAAGCTCAAGAAAACAAATGAAGCTAAGGAGTTGCTTGATGGGCTTATGTTGAGTGGAATGAAACCAAATTCTGTCACTTATTGTCATTTGATTCATGGATATTGCAAAGAGGGGAAGTTGGATGAAGGCAAGAAATTGTTTCACAAGATGATTAACAGTGGCTTTAAACCTGATAGTGATTGCTATTTTACACTGGTTAATTATTCGTGCAAAAATGGTGATTTTGAAGAAGCATTGAAGGTTTGCAAACAGAGTATGGAGAAAGATTGGGTACCGAATTATTCGACTATGAAGATGCTTGTTGAAGGGCTTGCAAAGAGTTCAAAAGTTAATGAAGCAAAGGAGCTTGTTGAGAAGATGAAGGAGAAGTTTCCAAAGAATGCTTACATGTGGATTGAAGTAGAAGAGACTTTAGCCAAATTAGAGGATATATAAGATGATATAATGACAATTTATGTGCGTTTTTACATCTTTTAGGGTTAAATGCAAGAAAAGTAAATGTACTTTCTGTTTTTCCTCATAGCATTGTTGTTTAACTTTTTCCTATTATAACATTGTACTTTCTAAATGCTAGAGAAGTATTTACTTTCTATTTTTTCCACATCTTTGGTCTCAAATAGCATTCTAATATATTGATGTTAATATATGAGGAATGAACAAAATCTCTGTTGAATTTCATAACATTACTTTTTAATCTCACAACTAATCTTAGTTTATGAAAACTCAAAAAGACTATTAATAATTGAGGTACTAAAATCATCAAGAAAACTGAAAAAGACTTCTGATAATTGTCAAAGAAGATTTAGCATTTTGAGCAACACCAGGTGAGACATTTCATCAAACAGTTTGGGCATTACCCAATAACCCATGCAGTTTGATTCCTTTGTGTTTTTGGGATAAAAAAAATTGGATCAACAGATAAAAGGGATTGAACCCGACGTGAATCGAACACGCAACCTTCTGATCTGGAGTCAGACGCGCTACCATTGCGCCACGGATCCTGTTGAAATATACGTCGTTTTCAGTGTACTTATCACATATTAGTATTTAACATTTATAAAATAGTAATATGTTTGTTTACATAAAACAAGATTGGCAGATTTTAAGTTGGTAGATACACTTTAAGTAACATTAAATTACGATTTCTTTATAGAGTTTTTTGATAGGTTTATATGTAAACTATGTGACTGTTTCAAGCCATAAATCCATGATACATGCAATTTGACTTAGAATTAGAATCTTTTTAAAACTAAAATGGCTTTGATCGAAAAAAAAGGTTAATCATGGTTTATCCGATTTAAGTAAAATATAATAGTTTTATGAAGTTTATCTTTTTTATAAACATATTATTTTTTTTATATATCCATGTCATACTTGAAAAATATTTAATTTTTTCGTAAAATAAATTTCTCAGGGTCCAAGTGTTCAACATGACTTCGATTTTAGTTTAGACTTTAGAGTTTAGACAACATATATGATAGAGGGAAACTTCAACGACGATATCTTCATTTTTTTTACCCAACAATCCATGCAGCTTAATTGGTTCATTTGTGGTATTTGAAATAACCGAAAAAAAAGGATCAACAGTTTAAAGGAATTGAACCCGACGTGAATCGAACACGCAACCTTCTGATCTGGAGTCAGACGCGCTACCATTGCGCCACGGATCCTGTTGAAATGTACGTCGTTTTCAGTTTAGTTATCCCATATAAGTAATTAAAAATTATAAAATAGTAAAATGTTTTCTTGTATACATCTTCCAACCAAGAAACATGATTAATTTTCACACAAAAGCACACAAATAGTATTACAAAAGAAGACCTTCAGACAACCAGGTCGATTTTATGAATAGAAAGACTTTTCTTAAAAACAAGAAACTCCATTAATGGAGATGAGAGCTTAATTAATAGCTGCAAAATCAAGTGACTTCTTTCCTTCGTGAGCATTCCCAAAGAAGTTGTTCATGTACTCTTGGAATACGAGTTCCCTATATCGAGCAACCCCATCGCGAGCCACCAACTCCGGCAAAGGACCTATCTTTGCCACCGGAAGCGGGACGTTGAATATCGGCACCGACACTCTCGATGCACTGCTTGTGGTTCGTACCCTGTGTTCTGCACTTTTGTACCTCCCATTGCTTATAATCTACGTACAACATCAAAATTCAAAACACCAAACAATCAAAATTTAATTACAAGAGCACCATTGCAATTAAACGTGTGAGAAAATTTAGAATTACGACATGAAATCGAACCTGTAAAATATCGCCAATATTAATCACAAGAGCACCATCGATGGGTGGAATCTCAATCCACTCTTCGTTTCCTGTTGATAAGTTTTCACCTTTTTTCACGTATAATCCACCGATTCCATCTTGTAGAAGCACCGTTAGGGTGCCCATATCCGAGTGTCGCCCCACACCAACGGTCAGCTCTGGATTCGGGCAGGTCGGGTAGAAGTTCATGTTCACCATCCTTAAACCCATAAGCGATTCAAGTCTTGAATCGTCTAAATTCACTCCAAGGTTTCCGATTAGTTCTTGTAATAGCCTTTTCACCATCTCCTTTGATGTCTTTATGTACTCCAGTGCCACTTCTCTACAAAACACAACCATATATACAAATAAACTTATTATCATGCATATGCTGCATGCTAACATAATTTTTCCATTCCAAAGTTAAAAATTCTTACTTGCATTCATTAGGCCAGAACTCAAGAGCATCGGAATCATTGGTGTAAACCATGTTAATATAATCTTTCCATTCCAAAGCTTTCTCTACCTCAGGAACAAAGCTTGTTCCATATTTGACTATCGGACTAGGGCTCACCGCTTTCAGATACACCGCCTTCTTTTCAGGTGGTTGGCTGAAAAACTGGTGGGCTGAAACTTTGAGCAACTCAAGAAGCTTCAATGGTACACCATGGTTCACCACCTGAAAGAACCCTAGGGTTTCAGCAGCATGGGCAATGGCCTTGACCACTTGATCATGGTTAGGTCCATCGAGCTCTGATAGATCAATGACCATGTTTTCCGGCGACGCGGTAGCTGCTTGCTGCTTGTTGATTCGCTGGTAGGGTGGTTGGATGTAGCGGCTGGGGACCTCTGTGAGGCCGGAGTCAACCAGACCTTTGACACCGTTGCCATCTTTTACCACGAAGTTGAAGAGTGTGTTATCATCGTTGAAGCTTGGAGCCATTGGAGAACTGTAAATATGCTTGTGTTTTTGTGCTTGACTGATTAAACATCTCGATAAATAATGCCTATAAATAGTCTTGTATGTCATGGTTTACTTTTTTTTTTTTTTGTCTATTTTATTAGTCATGTTGCGATTCTATTGCTATATGTGTTTAAAGGCATGGTCCAGGCCCCATAAGTAGGCAATGATAATACTCTTTCACCAAACGAGGATTGATAATATGCTATGTAAATTGGCAGTTCAGTTGATTCAATTAAGAATTAACTCATTTATACATTTAAAATAGTTATCAAGAATTAGTAAAACCAATTGGCTTAGCAATAGTAGTCTTTCGATTTCATACTTTGGGCACAGGATTTTCATATATTGGCAGATTTGGTCCTTATATTCTTGGGTTTTAGACTTTGGCCACAAGAGTTTTGTATATTGACAGATTTTGTCCATATATTTTTGTATATTGACAGGTTTGGTCCCTAAAGTTTTGGGATTCAGATTTCAACAATAAGACTTTTGTATATTTCCATCTTTGGTCCATATACTTTAGTATGTTGGCAGGTTTAGTCCTCCCACAAAGTAGGGATTATATCATTCTTGTTACCTTGTGTACTTCATTTTCAATCAATGGGAATATACTAGCCATTTTTCCTGCATAACTTTTTAATCATCTCTTCAACTTAAACATTATAATGTTTGATCACACAAGAAATATTTAAAGTGACTTACGTCGGCTAGTTTTCTAATTCCTACGTTTAAATTGACTTACATGTTTGTTTCATTCAATACTCAACTCTGTTATTACTTATTTGGGCTATTCGTGCGATACTAGGTTGAAATATAAATCTATTTCTAATATAAATTCGAGAAAAAAATACAAATCTATTTTTAATATAAATTCGAGCATATATTGTCTTTTTTATAAACCCATCAAAAATTAAAGAACAAATCAAACCCTAATAAACCATCCTAATAATAGTGTCACTCGATCGCAGCAGTATTGCTCGTCTCTATACTATATATAGCGTGTAGCTTCTTATCATTTTCTTTTGTAACTATTTCAGTCTATAACTATTAGTAGGATTATTCTTCTTTTATTAAAAAAAATGGAATATAAGAAAAACAAAACTAATATATATGATAATTGATGTAGTTAGTTAAGCAACAATCTCTATTCCGAATTCTCCTCTCGGTCTCTACCCCCTCTAATTCTTCCTCACTTTCTCTCCTCTCTCATTTTTGAAGAAAAAAAAGTTCCTAACTCAATTACCAAACACCTCCCGAAAACTCAAATCCATAATTTAGATTCCAATTCCATCGATCCAGATTCATCTTTATGTATATATTCATACATGTATGATTCAAGCATTGCTTATGCAGCTCGAGATGCCTTGATACTCCTTCATTAAGAGGAATGTGATACGGTTGGTGTGATGCAACGTAACCGTAGTTGCCATCATGCAGAGCGAGGTTGCTAATAATGTTATGTGGAGCGGGGCTGCTATGCGGCGATGATTTCGATAAGGTGTCAGGCCAAAGTAGCTAAGAAACGTTATCTCGCCATTCAGCCCCTGAGACTGGTATCTGATGCAGTTGTTGTTGTAGTCACACGCATATGGGATATCATTGATAACCACGTACATATTCTACTTTGCACAAGCATTAACAACCATCCTAAAGGCATGGTTGTAGAACTCGCTACTCGGTACTTACTCGGCCGACTACCGAGTAACGAGTACCTGGGAGTACTCAGGGAGTACTCGGATTCGGAAATTCATATAGAAATATTTTTAGGAAAATTATATATGTCAAAATCATAAGTTAAAACCATAAGTGAAATGAAATGTATAACAAAATTAGATACATGTGAATACACAAAAACTAAAAAAACACATAATGGTCCCACTTCGTGAATAATTATTGAAAATTTAAGATATATATGTAGTAATAATCATATATGTATGTGTTAAATAATAAATCATTAAGTATACGATACATATTAATCACTGAGTTGACTGAGTTTTACAACAATGCTCACTTCAATAAGGGGACGATCGGAAGTACTCGGATTTTGTAACTCGCCTCGGTAAGGGACCGAGTAGCGAGTACTCGGACTAGTACTCGGCCAACTCGGCGAGTTTTGCAACACTGCCTAAAGGTGTCTCCAAAGTACGTTATACCTAACTGGATTCCCCCCCCCCCCCACCCACCAGTCTGATGTGGGTAGCATAGGTGACCAGATCA